AGTTTATTATTTCTGCACAGTTGGTTCCTGTCATTAGGCTTGCTCAAACTGCCGTGTCTCTCCCTGCATAAGTTCACCTGCCTTTGTTTTCAATTGGACCCCTGCTCTGTCTGTGTGTCAAGCTAACATCTCTCATAGTCACTCATTGACAACTGGGAATATTGTTGTTTTGGAGCCTGAGTAATGCTGGGAACTGAGAATGTTAGGCTTCAGTGGCTGGTGGAAGGGGTTAGGGGAATGTTTTAGAGTGTCCCAAAATTCACGCAAGATTTGAATTCTGCGCGAGCATTAACAACAACAAAAATAAAAGCCTAATTTTACTGGGTTTATTGGATCAGATTCTAATATCTGTGGCCCTTTGATGTCAATCCCTTCCATTGGATCAGCATGACCAAGGACCAATGACGGCCCAGGAGCAGGGACAATGGAGACCAATGAAGCCCGCGGCTTTGCGTCTGTGCCAGAGAAGCCGTGGAGGCCATTGACCCGCTGTGCTATTCCACACATAACCCTAGACTGTGTACTTTATGGATCAATAAAAGATTTACAATTTTTAATTATAAACCTGTGTTTTCTATCCATATTACTTCTTGCGTGAATTTTGGGACGCCCTATAGAATGAATGGCTCTGTTCGGGATCCTTCCCTCCACACCGTGGCCGGAGGGGGACAGGGACCCCAGGGCACCCCTTCTGCCGACAAACACCTGAGCTGACCCGGGAGGAGAGCCTGGGAAGCGGCCCCAGGCGGCCGGAGGGGCGGCCTTGGGACACGCGGGGAAGGACCGGGAAGGAGTTAGCACAGCGGTCGGCAAACTCACCAGTCCACAGAGCCAAACATCCACAGTACGGCGACTGAAATCTCTTTTGAGAGCCACGTTTTTTAAACTTGAACTCTACAGGTAGGTACCTCGTTATTGACGTAATGAGGGGACTCCTAAGCTGGCCTTTGCTAAAAGCGTCCTCAGTCTGACGGAGGTACGTTCGCTGAGGTCGACCCCTTCCAACCCTCCCGTCCACACTCGTCTTGTAGACTTGTTTCGTCTGCCTCCTTTCCGAAAACCGCCTTCTGCGCACGGGCCACGAAGTTTCAACCGCGCCCGCCTGTGGTATTTTGTGGAAGAGCCACACTGAAGGGGCCAAAGAGCCGCCTGTGGCTCGCGAGCCGCAGTTTGCCGACCACTGAGTTAGCAGAACCCGCTCGGAGCAGGCGTGACCTTGGGGCTTGGCGATCCAGGGGACCGTGTCTCGGTGGCCCCTGGGAGGACCCGCGCCCTGGTTGGCTGAGGGGGAGGGGGAGGTGGCGCCACGCTCTACCCGTCTCGGCCCCCCGGCCCCCCGACCCTTCACCCACCCAGCTCTTCTTCTTCTTCTTCTTGGCGTCGGCGTCCTTGCCGCTGCCGATGCTCGAGTGGCTGGTGACGCTGTTGAGGCTGGAGATGCTGTCGGACGAGTTCTGCCGCTTGATCCGCAGCTCTGGGGGCGGGGACGAGGGGGGGCATGGACAGTCTGGGTCACAGCCGTGGGGGAGAGGGAACCGCCCAACCCCCGGGCCCACGTATTCCCGTCTGGGTCACTCTTTTTGTTGTTGCTGGAGAATCCTCACCAGAGGATGATTTCCCATCGATTTTTAGGGAGAGTGGAAGAGAGAGGGAGAGACAGAGAGAAACATCGATGCGAGAGTGACACACCGATGGGTTGCCTCCTGCACGTGCCCCGTCCAGGGCCCTTCCTCTCACCTCTCCCTGCGCCCCCCACCCCGCCCCCCGGCCTGGGGCTGTCTCTCCTACCTTTGGGCGTGGTCTCCGAGGCGTTGAGGGCTCCCTGGATGACTGCCTGGGCCTCTGAGTTCTTCTTCTTCAGGAAGTCAATGGTTTCTCGCAGATCCAGCAACTCGGTGTCCTGAGAGACATGGAACAGTGTCGTTGGCTGGGATCAGAGCACCTACTATGTGCCAGGTGGTAGGAGGAGCACCTACTGTGTGCCAGGCGATAGGAGGGGCACCTACTATGTGCTAGGTGATAGGATGGGCACCTACTATGTGCCAGGCGGTAGGAGGGGCACCTACTATGTGCTGGGTTGTAGGAGGGGCACCTACTATGTGCCAGGTGACAGGATGGGCACCTACTATGTGCCAGGCGGTAGGAGGGGCACCTACTATGTGCCAGGTGATAGGATGGGCGCCTACTGTGTGCCAGGCTATAGGAGGGGCACCTACTGTGTGCTGGGTGGTACGAGGGGCACCTACTGTGTGCCGGGTGGCAGGAGGGGCACCTACTATGTGCTGGGTGGTAGGAGGGGCACCTACTATGTGCTGGGTGGCAGGATGGGCACAGGTGTCCTACCAGTCATGCCACAGGGAATGGGGAATCAGCGCGGCTTTATTAAGGGGCAGGTTGAGAGTTCAGGGTGACAGAGGGAGAACCGGGCATGGGGCGCTCGGCCCCTCACCTTCTCCTCGGCCGTCTCCGCCAGGTGCCGCAGGCGGGAAGTCATGTTCACCAGGCTCTGCTCGAACGCCGCCACCAGGTTCGCCTGGAACAAGGACACAGGGGGCCCTGAGGCTTGAGGACGGGGATGGGGGGGGGGGGGGGGGGAGATTGACAGGGACGGAGTTTAGCGGATCTCCCGTCTCAGAGCTGACACACTTCTTGGGGGCTTTGAAATGGAGATCTCCCGGAACGGATGAGGCCCACTCAGACGCCTTCTGGGGGAACCAGCTTCTTTTTTGTTAAATTTTTTTATTTTTATGGATTTCAGAGAGGAAGGGAGAAGAGAGAAACATCAGTGATGAGAGAGAATCACAGATCGGCCGCCTCCTGCACGCCCCACACTGGGGATGGAGCCCGCAACCCGGGCCTGTGCCCTGACCGGGAATCGAACCCTGACCTCCTGGTTCACAGGTCGACGCTCAACCCCTGAGCCACGCCGGCCGGGCTCCTGACGGGAGCCGAGGAACCGCCCGGGGGCCTGGCATCACGCCTCCTGCCTGAGGACAGGGCCACGACCTCAGCAAGTCTCGGCCTCGAAAACGCAGAACCTGCGCCGACTGGGCTTTTGGCTTGTTCCGTTTTAAGCCAAAGGGAACTTCCTGTTCCAGGAGAAATCGGCCCCTGAATTCACATCCTTGGCCCAGCCCAACAACCCGATGGCCGGCAGCCCGCGGCCAGTGAGAACACTGTTCTCTCCCGGGCGCCTCCCCCGACAGCGTCTCCCGGGCGTGAACCTCCTGGGCAGAGCAGGCCCTGACCCCGCCGCCGCCTGGGTGCATGGGGTGCACGGAGGGACGAGGGGCTTCTCATACAGATCGCAACCGTGTAAGTTCCCACGAGCAGAAAAAAGCACTTAACCCGAGCTTCAAGCAAAGCATGTACAACAGCTCCACTGAGGGCTCGGGCTGCCCGGCCAGCGTGGCTCAGTGGGTGAGCATCGACCTGTGAACCAGGAGGTCAGGGTTCGATTCCCGGTCGGGGCACAGGCCCGGGTTGCAGGCTCGATCCCCAGTGGGGGGCGTGCAGGAGGCAGCTGATCCGTGATTCTCTCTCATCATGGATGTTTCTCTCTCTCTCTCTCTCTCTCTCTCTGAAATCCATAAAACATATATTTTTAAAAATATATAAATGGAAGGCTTGGGAATCAGAGAAGAAAGAGAGCGGCCAGTGTGTGAAGGGACGGCTGCTGAAAAAAAAAAAACGGGAAACATGGAAGGTCCCGGTGAGGGGTCTCCTCCCTGACTCGGAGGCGAGAGCCTGGGGCCGACAGCTGTGCTCCCCGGGGAGGAAGGAGAGGAAGCGGAGACACCCCCCCTCCCGTGCAAGGAGCGCTTGGATCGCTCCCCGGATCCGGCTCAGCTGGTGTTTACAGCTTTGGGGAAAAATGAGTCTTATGTTCTCAGCTCGGCCACGGGGGACAAGCGACTGCAGCCTGGCCAGGGCGGGCGGCCTCGTTTCTCCCCGTCTCCCGGGGTGGGGGGGCCAGGTCTGAGGAAACAAGACGGTGCTCGCCTGGCCCGGCCGGCGGGGCTCAGTGGGTTGAGCTTCGACTCAGGAACCAGGAGGTCAGGGTTCGATTCCCCGTCAGGGCACAGGCCCGGGTCCGGGCTCCATCCCCAGGGTGGGGCGTGCAGGAGGCAGCCGATCCATGATTCTCGCTCATCATGGATGTTTCTCTCTCTCTCTCTCTCTTCCTCTCTCTCTCTCTCCCGCTCTGAATCAATAAAAAAAACATTTAAAAACCCCCGAAAGACAGTCTCTACTGATTCCTGCCCACGGCCGATGGCTAGCCTGTGCCCAGCTCCGCCCAGAACCGTCGATAACAACCCTTGTTCTTCCTCTGGGGGGTTCAAGGCCATCGGGCGTGAACCCCTCCACGCGTACGGCTTAGCCGGGGGGCAGAACGGCTCTCAATAAAAATCGAGACTCTGAGACGGGGGGCCGAGCCCCAAGCCCGGTCTGCTCCCTTGGCGTCCAAGCCCCGGGGGTGATCAGGACCCCCAGCGCCCCCCCAGGCCCGGGCCGGGCCCCACTCACGTTGGCGGACAGCTGTGACGTCAGGGTGGCCACCTTCTCCTGCGAGGACTCCAGCTCCCGGCGGAGCTTGCGGATTTGCTGTGAGAAGGAGGAGAGAGACAGCTTAGGTGGCGGGACGGGGAGGCCGGGGGGACGTGGCGTGGAGGGTGCCGGCAAGCGGGACGAGGCTGGGCGCCCTACCTCGGACTGCATCCTCTCCTCAGCCTGGAGAAGGGAGCGTGGAGGCAGGGGGGGGGGGGGGGGAGAGAGGGGGCGAGAGGGAGTTTTTTTTACCCGGAGCTGAGGCAGCCAGGCCGCGGCCGGCGGGAACGTGGAGAAGCGAGGCCTGAGGTCCAAAGGGGCCGAGACGGCTCCCAGGCCCTGACCTGACTCGGGGGGCTTAGATCGGGGGTTTCTCTAAGGTTTGCGTGCAGCCAGCTCCGTGGGGGCCGAGAAGCGGGGAGGACCCTGGCTGACTGGGACTCACCCTCTCTGCCCCCAACGGGAAGTCAGAGCCCAGACCAGGGGCAGAGGCATCCAAGGATGGAGACGCCGTGAGAGCCCAGGGCATTGCACACGCAGCAAGCTGCACACACGTGGTCAAGTGCACACACGCGGTCAATTGCACACACGTGGTCAATTGCACACACAGTCAAGGACACACGCGGTCAACTGCACACACACAGACAAGCGCACACACGGTCAAGTGCACATGAGGTGAAGTGCAGACATGTAGTCAATTGCACACGCAGTAAACTGCACACACGTGGTCAAGTACACACATGCGGTCAATTGCACACACAGTCAAGCACACACGCGGTCAACTGCACACACACAGACAAGTGCATGCGTGGTCAAGTGCACAGGGGGGGCTCTGGAATGCACCTGGGGACCCCCGTCACCTCCCCACAAATGCCTCCCACTCCCCGGGGTGCGGAGCGGGCTCTAGGACCAGGGGCTCTCCAGCCTCAGAGCAGGCCAGACAGACCCTGAGCTCCCAGGCACCAAAACTCCCAGCCGGGCTCCCCCCCCAGGTGCCCAGGCTGCAGGGGGGACGAGGGAGGAAGGAGGAGACGGGGTGCTCTTACCGAGGAGTATGTGGAGGAGGCGCTGGACGCCAGGGACAGCACGGAGCCGTGAACTGGAAGAGAAAAGAATGGGGTGTTAACACAAGCCTCGGGGACCAGCCAGGGGACCCCGGGAGGAGCCCTGAGGCGGGAGCTGGTACTGACAGGCGGGCACCTGGAGCCGACAGAAAGAACAGAACGGGGACCCGGCTGGAACCAGAGCCCAGAGCCGGTTGGGTCTGCTGAGCAGGGCGGCCTCCTCCTGCAGTGACACTGCCCTGGGGGTGGACCCTGGCTCGGCAGGGTCCGAGGGGCACCGGGGCCCAGGAGGGAAAGGGGGTGTTCGCGGGCAGGTGCCCAACGGAGCCGCACAGAGCAACCCTGCCGCCTGCCCGCGCCTCCACTTAGCACGGGGTTCGTGCTAGAACCCCAGGACCACTCGATGAAAAACCGGCCGGTGTGGCTCAGTGGTTGAGCGTTGACCTAGGAACCAGGAGGTCAGGGTTTGATTCCGGATCAGGGCACAGGCCCGGGCTGGGGGCTCGATCCCCAGTGGGGGGCGTGCAGGAGGCGGCCGATCCGTGATTCTCTCATCGTTGATTTTCTCTCTCTCTCCCTCTCCCTCTCCCTTCCTCTCTGACATCAATATAAGCACATTAAATAAAAATAAAATAGAAAGAAACATCTGGTGCAAAAGCCTTAGAGAGAACTCGTGCGTATCTTCGAGCCACGAAGGCACGGCCAGCCCCCAGGAGCCCGGCCCCTCCCCGGCTGAGCCTGAACCTGACACCATGGCAACCGCATCCTGCCTGACGCGGACCCAGAGCATCCCTGGGAGAGGCATGCGCTGCCTGGCTCCCCTCTACGCGCTGCCCCATGACCCCGCGTGACCTTGTGGACTCCAGAGCCCGTCCACGCTCACTCCCCTCCCCAGCCCCAAGGTTTCTGGGCCCCCAGACCCTTCTCAGGGGCCGGGAGGAAGCGCTGAGATGGCCCCGCGCGATGGGCTGTGAGTCATGTGCGTGGGGCGGCCAT